GCACCGTGTTTGATTCAAACGCCCAAACACAACAGCCTAGTGCATGTGGAAGATAGACTTCAATCCATGTTTTATTGTCCTTTGTGACAGATAGTTATCAACAAATCTGGTCTCGTGACTATGTGGCTGAGATACTGATGAGCTGACGTTAAATTTTAACTCAAGGTTTGGGATGTTTTCTCAGTGAAAGTTAATCATGATATGTTATTGTGACTTTCCAAAATAAAATACATGTACCAAGAAACATAATATGAAGAAAAGGGTTCCAGAAACAGAAAGGATTAATGCAGTGGGCTAAAGGTCCTGCCAGAAGTGACTTAATCTTGTGCATGCTCAGAGGCTATTAGTTGTAAATATATACAGAGTTCCAATACCAATGATGTTAGAAATACTGGAAGACCAGTCTTTTATATGATATTTGTACACAAATTATATTTTAAGGAGTAGCTAATTATGAAATTCCTAAACATGCATATATATGTCCTGCATCCAAGCAGTTGTATTTCTTAGCACCCCCAAATAAATAAATAAATAAATTATGCTAGTTTCCAGTTACTCGACCGATCCTATCCTACCCCCCCTGACCTTAAATCTTTTTTTAACTAAGTCAATGACTGGAGTGCATTTCAACTGATCATTTTCATCCAAATCAAGTATGATATTTTCATGTTTTTCAGTGTACGTAGGGCTAAAATGGATCGAATTGGTATAATGGGTTCTCACTGACAAAACTTACAAATAAATAACATAAATAATGATTTGATGTAGAAATCTTTGAATGTTTCCTCACAAGGCATTGTAGCAACATGATATGGTATCCTTGAAGACATTCTCAGGTGCCCACCTGGTGCTGGTATTTTAAGTTGGATAACTTGTCCCCAATCCCTTTCACATTTGTGAATAAAATATGTTTAAATCAATCAAAGTAAAAAAAGATAAAAATCGACCCACCTACCCTATTTTTTTCAAAAGCATGTAATAGGAACGGACAGTTCTTTCGGCCTTAGCTATAGGTATCTGTTTTCAATTACGGGCGGTGCTGTAGCCTAGTGGTTAAAGAGTTCGCTTGTCACACTGAATACCTTGTATTGATTCCCCGTATGGGTACAATATTAATGTGTGAAGCCCATTTCTGGTGTCCCCTGCAATCATATTGCTGGCATTTTGCTAAATGCGACATAAAACTCAACTCACTGTCACAGTCAAAATTATATACAGTACAACCAGAAATTATTGAGAATTTAAAGATTGTAATTTTGTTATTTTTTCACTCATTACTCACGTATTAAATGTGAATATTAGCAGAACATAACTCCAGATTCAAAGACAGGTGAACAGTTAGTATTTTGTCAAGTCACCATGGGCAGCAATGCAGGCTTCAATGCGGCGGGGCATACTACTGATCAAAGAAGTTAGAAAGTCGTGGTCCATGCTGTCCCAATATCGGACCACCTCTTCTTTCATTTCAGCAGTATTTGTCCGATTTTTCTTATTGACACTTTCCTTCATAAGTCCCCAAACATTTTCTATTGGATTTAGGTCAAGGATATAGCTTGTCCAATCTAATAATGTCATATTTTGGGTCCGAAACCAGGCCTGTGAATGCTTTGAACGATGTTTTGGGTCGTTGTCCTGCTGGAAAATCCAAAAATTTCCATAGAACACGTGAGCAGATGGAAGTAAATGTCCCTCGAGAATATCTGTGTACCGCTCACTGTTCATATTCCCTTCAAATACAAAGAGGGGGCGTTGCCCCTAACACGGATATGCCACCCCACACGTTAAATTTCCGACTGTACTTTGGGCGCTGATACAAAGGTTTTTCAGTTTGTTTGGTCCAGAATTTCAGTGTATTAGGAAACAGCCACACAGAACTTTCATCTGAGAAAATCACATTGTCCCAGTTAAAATTTCTATGCTGTAAGCACCAGTTCAACCTTCGCTCCTTTTGTTCAGGTTTCATGATCGGTGATGGAATTCCTCGACTTTTCTGCCAACCCATTGCATGCAGCTCAGTTCTAATTGTCTCCTTACAGACAACCCCAGTTCCTCTATCAATCATATCCAGCCTTAAGTTTTCTAAACTCCTTCGTTTGTTTTTAGAAACAAGAATACCAAGCCGCCTCCTGTCACCGACAGTCAATTTTCTGGGCCTACCTGCGCCTCCCTGGTGCTCAATGCCATATCCATTTGCAATATTTTTTAAACACGATAAGTTGTGGACAAAGGGATGCCTGTTCTACTTGGAATCACTTTAGCTGATCTGATGTCCTTGTTATAATACTCTAAAATCAACTTCCTCTTCTCTAAATCATCCATACTGAGGATCACTGAAAATGTCGTCTGCTAGCAAGTAAACAACGGGGGATAACTCTTCAAAAAATAATGAAAAAGGATTAACGGAGTTGTCTCTCTTGAATGAACCCAAGCACTTGATAGCTGGACAAGGTTGTGTATACTAGAAATCCCAATCAAAACATATTCCTAAAATTCTCAATAATTTCTGGTCATACTATATATTCAGAGACTAAGCGTTAGTCTATGCTCAATGTTAAGCCCATGGGTGTATTCAAATTCTGTCCTTTGAAGAGGCAAGTCTAGATAAGTGCATAATATACCAGTCTGTTATTTATATTTCTTCAGAACTTTTTTATTTAAAGTATTAATTATTACCTTAGAGACTTATGTAAGTCCACACTCACAGATGACTGTTATCTTGGCTCTTACAAGTGCTATGCTAATAGTATGTCTATATTGTACAGGGATCGATTTCACTTCGTCAGGTTACACTTCCTTTCACCTTCATCCATTACAGAGTAACACACACACTGTAATACACACAGTGTATACAATCATTTCACATTTCATGGAAGGTCTGAGGTCACGGTGTAATATGTTATTGTAATGGTGGACAAGCTGATTTTTCTACATTGGAAATTAATGAAATTCATGAATGAAAAGTTTAGTAGTAAAGTAACCATCAGGTCAAAAACATCCTCCAGACTTTCAGTTCCCGTGAGAGAGTGAAACCTCTCTCAGTCTGACAGGAAATCGTCTGCTGTCAGTCACAGCGATACCATTGTGATAACATCGTGCAGTTAATGTTTTCCTGGTGCAAGCGTATTGCGTCACATGGTTGCCCTTGGTGCAGGAAGTGAAAAAAATGAAATTTGACAAAGTTGTGTTATAGGGGTCTCTTGTTATTTCATCTCAGAGAATATGATCACCATACTATTGTGTATAATGTAATATAATTGTGTGGGTATGGTCAGATATTTATGCCAGATGTCAATGTTCAGACAATAGAGTGTCAATAACACAGCTACACCGTGTCATACACATTCCTTCCATGGAAACTGGAGATGGTACCTTGAGGAGAAATGGTCCCCAGCTATAAACATTAAAGAATCAAAGTCAACATCTCAATAGTCAACGAAGAAAGCTGCATATTTACAGCACTCACTCACTCGAAGCGCGTGCATGCACGCACCACCCACTCAACTCACTCATTCATTCACTTGCTCACCCACCCACCAAATCTACTCACTCACTTGAAATTTAAAACTTTATCAACATAGATGAACTTCTAGTGAAATTTAAAACTTTATCAGTATGGAGGAAAATATTTATAGTGAAATTTAAACTTTGTCAATATAGATGAATTTATAGTGAAATTTAAAACTTTGTCAATATAGATGAATTCAAATGTGAAAGTTAAAACTTTATCAGTATAGAGGAAAATATTTATTGTGAAATTTAAAACTTTATCAATATAGATGAATTTATAGTGAAATTTAAAACTTTGTCAATATAGATGAATTCATAGTGAAAGTTAAAACTTTGTCAATATAGATGAATTCATAGTGAAATTTAAAACTTTGTCAATATAGATGAATTTATAGTGAAATTTAAAACTTTGTCAATATAGATGATTTCATAGTGAAAGTTAAATCTTTATCAATATAGATGAATTTATAGTGAAATTTCACCTAAATAATCATACTTCATCATGTTTATGATATTTCAAAGTCACCAGATTGAAAACGCCATCTATCATATACTGTAAAACAAGAAGAACTATCTGATGCTAACATATAAGCTTGTGTGTATCACACCATATATCAAAGCTTTCATGTATAGAAAACACAAATTATGATGTTGAATAACTTTTGACAATTTATCAAAGGGCAATTGCAATTTTTAATTTACAAATACTGTAACCCCTGCACACACACCCTCTGGATCTGCCTTTGGTATGTGATTTTTTTATATGCAGGCTTGCCTTGTCATGACTGGCAGACCTTTTCAGTATATTGGTGTGTTGGCCCACTTTGTTTACCCTTTAACACCGATGGTACCTGTGGTATATGACACGGGCGCCAGTGCTTGAACCATGACAATGCTTAGTCCTTTATTGCTGACATGTGACAGATTAAACACACCTTTGATGGCTGTCTGAAAATTTACTGTGACAATGACCTCTAGATCAGAGTCTTTGTGTACCCCTCTTACAAGTGTACATTGTCACTGTTCCTACAGTTGAAAGGTATGAATACACAATGCCATTTAGACAGTGGTCAGATGTATAGTAACTCTCATTATCTTGACAGAAGTGTAACCCGTAATATGATATATGTTACATCTGACCACTTTCTAAATGGCATTGTGTAGTCATACCTTTCAACTGTAGGAGCAGTGACAAATTTTCACTTGTAAGAGGGGTACACAAATACTGTGATCTAGAGGTCCAGTTGCCTAACTTCCATTTTGTGTAAGCCGTGGTGGCTGAGTGGGTTAGATTGCTGACTTTGTGTGCTGGTGATAAGGTGCATTCTGACATTGTGGGTTCGAATCCTAGATGGGATTCAGCCTGACAAAGTACTAGAATCTGTACTTTACTGAGAAGTGAGTGAGTGAGTTAGCTTCATGCTGCTTGTAGCAATATTCCAGTAATATCACGGCGGGGGCTTCACACATTGCACCCATGCGAACACAGGTCCATGTCAATAAACAGTGTACTCGGGGCTGGGAAAGCCTTCTTGTATAACCACTCCATCTCTCCCAGCACGAAGCCTGTATTGGACTACTTCATCCAGTGTGGGCAGCTGGAGCTCATCCAGGCTACAGTGCCAGAAGCTGTGCTTGATGGACTACACTATTACGGCCAGGTCGTTGTGGTGCATGATTGTCTTTACCGAAACAGCTACACGTCAAAATACATCTTGTTTCAAGATATGGATGAAGTCCTGGTCCCGAATAAGGATTCTGACTGGCTTACACTCATTGAACGCCTGAAAGACAGATATCCGAAGGGTGGATCCTTTACTTTGATGAATGCCTTCTTCACTAAGACAGATCAAAATGGTTTATCTAAATCAATGAAGGACAGTGATATCAAACTATTTTCTTATTACAGCCGACATAAAATACTTGACTATTTAGACAGGTCTAAGTACTTTCTGATTCCGAGAACAGTGGACATCTTACAAATCCATGGAGCCCTCCACATCTCAGACTTCCACGATGTGGCGGTTGATGTTGCTGATGGTCTTCTTCATCATTACCACTCTGACATCAAGGAGAAACCGATGACAGTAGATAGGTCCACGGAGAGGTTTCATCTCACCTTACTACATTAATTAGAAATACAATGAAATGCATCAGATGAGGGTAGGCATCAGTACCAGGATCTTTCAATAATGGCCGATTTCAGGTCTGAACTCACTCACTCACTGACAATGTTTAGGAGGAAACAATATTTTTCCAGATATATTATATAATTAAATACTGAAATACGTTTTTGAGCATAAACCATTTGTATTTATCTATTTTACAGTCAGCTATATCCTAGTCATATCATTGTTTCCTATTAATGCTCTTGATTGAAGCCATTCAAGTCACAAAGCATGATTATTGAACCCTATGAGCCAGCTCTTGAAATGTGAAATAGGAACCTAGAATCCAACAAGGACACAACAGGCCATCTTGTTAGTTGTTGCGGAGTGAAAGGTCTTCCATTATGCTCAATTTTAATATATTTTAATATTTTAATACACACGTATGTATGTATGTATGTATGTATGTATGTATGTATGTATGTATGTATGTATGTATGTATGTATGTATGTATGTATGTATGTATGTATTTTAATATTTTTATACACACGTACGTACGTACGTACGTGTGTGTGTGTGTGTGTGTGTGTGTGTGTGTGTGTGTGTGTGTGTGTGTGTATGTATGTATGTATGTATGTATGTATGTATGTATTGTATGTATGTATGTATGTATGGGCCTGTGACCTCCTACTGAAAAAAACAACAACTACTAGTATTCATTCTATATGTGTCATGCGTACATTCAGATCTGGATAAGTAGTTCACCGACAGAGTTTGGGGGTCTCTAACTTACGTGTCGGTAGACTTTTATGCGCCACCAAAAAATAACATTTGGTGTATTGGTCTACACTCTGGCGAAAGTTTAGGTATAAATCTCTCAAATATATATCTTACTTGGGGTGTCAAGCGTCTATTTTCATTAGTCTAATATTTTGTCCCAGAAATGTCTTATTTTATCCAAACAATGTGTATCCTCAATATATAAACTTCAATCTAAATGTAGCTCTGAAATCCTTACTTTGAGGAGGCAATGAATGAAGCAGTCAAGACAAAGCTCTTGGCAGCTGACAACACTTCCAGTAGTAAGCATTTTACGTTTCCGAACAGAAGTAAATGAAACGAGCATAAAATATTCATTGGCAGTAAGCGTTGGCGCGGGAGCATTTCTGCTCAGTTGTCAGACAGGTACTAATGTCAAAGCATTCAAAGACGTTATGCTTTAGGTTTTCAGACATGTGCCGCCGCACCCGCCCCCAACCACGTCTACAACTGCAACACCATTGTCAAGCCACAAAACCACATACCACAGCACCATCGCTTCTATCTGACCACACACAACACAAGTTGAGTTGCAGACCAACACCAAGAGAGAATGCCCAATCATCTATTTCTTATGTCGGTACTTACGAGTCGGTAGACTTTTATGCTCCACCAAAATATACCATTTGGTGTATTGGTCTACACTCTGGCGAAAGTTTAGGTATAAATCACTCAAATAAATATCTTACTTGGAGAGTCAAGCATCTATTTTCATTAGACTAATATTTTGTCCCAGAAATGTCCTATTTTATCCAAACAATATGTATCCTCAATATATAAATTTCAATCTAAATGTAGCTCTGAAATCCTTACTTTGAGGAGGATGTATGTAAATATTTATTTATTTTTCATGGTAGGTCCGTTATAGATTTTAAATGTTTTAATGTGTCTCATAAACATTATGGTGGCTTTTACATATTATCTTATCATATATTGTATTTGTAACTTTGTAAATGTATTTGGTGAGACGAAATAAACAATTTCTCTCTCTCTTTGTTGATGTTTTATGTCAACAACAACACTCAATAGGTTATTCATGTGCTGATACTTAATGTTGTAACCCTGATCATGCAACATTTGAGTCATATGAAGCTTTTTTTATCAGGGTAGAAAAAGAATGTTAACAATTCTTGCAAATTTGATTGTTTGTCTTTGGCACTACTTTAACACTAATCTAGCAACAGTGATGCGTGCACGTGCACCAAGGTCAGGAAGGATCAATATTGCTCAGGATAATCTCAGACAGCAATTACTGGGATTAGATAACGATGTCAAAATTCTTTTTACCCCTATTTAAACTCAAAACACTATAATCTAAACTGAGTTATATAGGTCTACAGCAGTGTCTATTTGAGTTATCTCCTATTTAGACGATATCGTTTTATTTCTGTATGTCGAACGATTATCATCGGCGAAATCGGGATATTCGGAATGAAAGAATATAAGCCATGTTAATATATTGTGGACATTTTCTGATTCCTGTTGTTTTGAGCGTGTGTTGAGCTTTTGTTCATTAAAACTGCGTGTTTCTGACTGCTTGGTGATCACATCAGGATTTTCACGATACAGTTCAAATATTAAAGTCGTTTTGATTGATCTGTCTTGTAACTTGAATCTGATTGTTTCTGCATTTTGCATATTCTCTGACAAAGTAACATGGCAACGTGAAACAATTTCTGATTACATTGATCTTCCATAATACAGGGTTATCAATATCCAGATCGGTTGGCAGATATTATGGACTAATCACATGTTGATGAAAATCTTGTTAAAAATAGTTTTGTTTAGCGTCGGACAATGAATGTGAATGTCAAAACAGGCGACTTAATGTTTGTTTGTTTGTTGTTCAACATCAGCAGTATTCCATCTACAGTGAAACCCCGATAAGTAAACCACTGATAAGTGGCAACCCCGATAAGTAAACCACTGATAAGTGGCAACCCCGATAAGTAAACCACTGATAAGTGGCAACCCCGATAAGTAAACCACTGATAAGTGGCAACCCCGATAAGTAAACCACTGATAAGTGGCAACCCCGATAAGTAAACCACTGATAAGTGGCAACCAGTAAACTTATTTTCTCCAGTCCCGGCAATAGCCTTCATTATTTATCATTATTTCATGTTGGATAAGTAAAATCGAATAAGTGGCAATTCCGTTTAAGTAAACCTTTCTCCGCCGTCCCTTCAGACATATATGGCGGCGATCTACCCAGTGATTGACAGCATGAGCATCGATCTACGTAATTAAGATACAATGACATCTGTCAACCAAGTCAGCGATTTACACCAATTCTCACAAATAATGCCCAATCTGAAAGACACAAATCGTAAAAAAACAAAGACAATATTTCTGTCATTTGTTGTTGCTAATTTATTGAAGAAAGTGTCACGAACGAAAATCAGAAATTGTAGCATTCAAGGGGAGCTTGTAAAAATTCCATCACATCTCATGCAACACCACCCTACACGGTCGTTGTAATCTACGTGGCTGTTCTTTATGATGGCTGCATAACACATTGAAGGGAAATATCATTCACAAATTTCAGTCTTTAATCCCAAATTTGTGTTTCGTTAAGAAAACAACATTACATGTAACATCCTCTCCACTCAATTGAGTTTATTAGCATTATAACAACAAACTTGATCAGGTCAAAGCTCTTGAAAATATAACTTTATGTTATATAACTTTATAACAACTTACCATATATGAAAGTCATTATTGCTACTTGATTAGCAATAAATAAAATATTCATAACAGCTACCGGAACATGTGATAGTTATGAAGGTATTACTTCATTCATTGCAATCTTCGTTACCATGCTTTGAGGAGCGAGTACAAAATTGAGGTGAATTATATGTTGCAGTTTTCTTAAGAGATCGAAATATCATTCGTGTAGTGTTAATATCAATATGTCTAAAAAATCTATGTCATGTTAATAAAATTGGTACAAGCTTCACGAAATACAACTTCTATCAATCTTTTGAAATGATGGCTAACAGCACCCAAATACAGTGATCAGTTCCAAATGCTTTTACCGAAGAAATTCTCGACAGCAGAACAATTGTTTTTGAAATATTTTGAAACTTTATCCCTATAATGAAGTAAATTAACAAATATTCTTACCTGTTTCATAGGGAATTTTCCGAATAAAGATGAAGTTTCCCTTCCAAATTTGAATTTCGTGAAATGTCACTGAAGTGCTGCGATCATGTGACAGCAACCGGTGGTAACTGTTGTACGTTATTAAATTATTTGCCTGGGTTCTTTTTTGTGTGTAATATTCCATATCAGGTGGTAACGTTGATTTCATAACGTAGATTACTTTCACCGTTACTACCATGATCTTGACTGGAAGCATATTGCACTCCTTTTCGGTTTTATTACACAATGAAAACACAAAGCTTTCCTTCTAATCACTTTTATAGGTAGCTGTTATTCATGTTTCCGTACAGTAATGGTAACGTAGCATTCATGCTTAAGACAACACTTTTTATAGACCGGGTTCGTCTTTGTGTACGGTTATATATATGGTATGATGTCTTCCAAGATGACACTTTTTGTAAATATACTATATCCAGTAAAAACTTGCGAGCTTTCAAAACAAATGTTTGTCAATATATATGCATTTTACACTGCATTTTACGTTCTGCAACGTAGATTACGGCTATTTTGGCAACATATTTCGTAGTGTCACATTTGTTTTGTTTATTATGATAATTCCTTCGTTGTTTTACAGGTTTTACATTCATGTACGTACAACCTATTGGAAGTGATTTTAAGAACGCTTATGATGGTAAACATACTAATTGTATCCATTTGTTTAAACACTACAGCTTTGGCGACACCAAGAATGACTAAATTGTGACACATGTTTTGATTGTAACAAACAAAATAGTGATTTCCAGTTGATTTCTGCGAATTATACCATGTTTACTGGGTAGAACTGGATGCGTATTTGACTTTTATTCCTTTCTATTCGTCTGCTAAACATATACAAATCAAAACGTCATAAGAAATAGATGATTGGGCATTCTCTCTTGGTGTTGGTCTGCAACTCAAGTTGTGCTGTGTGTGGTCAGATAGAAGCCATGGTGCTGTGTTGCAGTTGTATACGTGGTTGGGGGCGGGTGCGGGGGCACATGTCTGAAAACCTAAAACATAACGTCTTTGAATGCTTTGACAGTAGGACCTGTCTGACAAC